CAAGAATGGCTGCTGCCACTGTATCCATCCCCAGGGTGAGCTGCAGCTCCCTACTCTCTCCGTCCGCCTCTCCGGGAGACTCTCCAAGACCAGCAGGTGGGTCCAGGCCAGGCTCCTGGTCAAGGGAGCCAAGTCACTACTTCCGCCCTGTGCCAGAGCCTGTGCAATTTTGTGTGCTCCCTTTTCCAGTGAAGTCTCTATACCTAATGGAGTACTATTCAGCCATTAAAAGAATATAATGTTGCCATTTGCAAGAACATGGATGGACCTGGATGGTATTATGCTAAATGAAATGTCAGACAGAGGAAGTCAAATATTGTATGTATGATAGCACTTGTATGTGAAATCTGAAAGCTACAACAAACTAGTGAATATAGCAAGAAAAAAAAACCAGACTCACAGATATAGAGAACAAACTAATGGTTACCAGTGGGGAGAAAGAAGGGGACAAGATAGAGGTAGAAGATTAAGAGGTATTAATACAACTTATTATGTATAAAATAATCTACCTCCTATTAAAAAATACATGAAAAATTTTCTAAAAATCTGTAAGGATGTACTGTAAAACATAGGTAGTACAGTAATTATTTTATAATAAATGAAGTATAAACTTTAAAAATTGTGAAACACCATATTCACAGCTGTAACTTATATATATTATACATCAACCATACTTCATTTAAGAAAAAAAAGTTTCCAGAAAACAACAAAAAAGAGACACTTAAGGGACAGCTGGTTCTATTTCACAGATAAGGAAATTAGGACTCAGGGTAGTGAATTACCTGGTCAGCATTGTAAAGTCAGCTCAAAGTTTTTGTACATTTTCTCAAATAATTTATAATCACAATCTATTCATTAGAAAAATACCACACAAATCTCAAATGAGAAACATTCTACAAAATAGCTGACCAGTGCTATATAAGACTATCAAGACCTTCAAAATAAGGAACGTCTAGAACCTTGGTAGTAAAAACAGTTGATAGATATGATGATCACCTGAGGAGCTTTATAAACAGCACCTGGTCTCCTTCTCAGATCGTGATTCAGGTGCTCTGCCTTAGACCTTGGGCGTTGATCTTTAAAAGTATCCAAGCTAAATATGTGGCTACAGTTGAGGGGAACAGAACGAGAGGTAGAAATATCTCTGGAACCCCATTCCAGCCATTTTTTACTACTGTAAACCAGAGGTTTTGTATTTAGTAGAAGCATAAACTTTTCTGCACCTTGCTTTATTTACTTTACCAGATAAGCTGGGCTTTTTCAATGCAGAAAAAAAAAATTATTCTTTGGAAATATTAACAAGATGCCTTTAGTGCTACGTGTTAGTTTAAGCATCCATATTAATAGAAATCTACTCATTTCACTCATGCTCAGAAAGATTTAATTTTTCCTTTGCCTGTTGGAAGAAATCTTGATTCCAGCTTGTGCTTCATTCAGCCCAGTGTTTCTCATGATGTACTCTGCATATAAGTTAAATAAGCAGGGTGACAATATACAGCCTTGACATACACCTTTCTCAATTTGGGAAATTAAGATTGCTGGGAGAAATTTCAGTAACCTCAGATATGCAGGATGACACTACCCTTTTGGCAGAAAATGAAGAACTACAGAGCCTCTTGATGAAAGTGAAAGAGGAGAGTGAAAAAGTTGGCTTAAAACTCAACATTCAGAAAACTAAGATCATGGCATCTGGTCCTATCACTTCATGGCAAATAGATGGGGAAATAGTGGAAACAGTGCAGACTTTATTTGGGGGGGCTCCAAAATCACTGCAGATGGTGACTGCAGCCATGAAATTAAAATCCTTGGAAGAAAAGTTATGACCAACCTAGACAGCATATTAAAAAGCAGAGACATTACTTTGCCAACAAGTGTTGGTCTAGTCAAAGCTATGGTTTTTCCAGTGGTCATGTATGGATGTGAAAGGTGGACTATGAAGAAAGCTGAGTGCTGAAGTATTGATGCTTTTGAACTGTGGTGTTGGAGAAGACTCTTGAGAGTCCCTTGGACTGCAAGGAGATCCAACCAGTCCATCCTAAAGGAGATCAGTCCTGGGTGTTCATTGGAAGGACTGATGCTGAAGTTGAAACTCCAGTCCTTTGGCCACCTGATTCGAAGAGCTGACTCATTGGAAAAGAGTCTTTCCCACCTGATGCTGGGAAAGATTGAAGGCAGGAGGAGAAGGGGATGACAGAGGATGAGATGGCTGGATGGCATCACTGACTCAATGGACGTGAGTTTAACTAAACTCCAGGAATTAGTGATGGACAGGGAGGCCTGGCATGCTGCAGTCCGTGGGGTCACAAAGAGTCAGACATGACAGCGACTGAACTGACTGATGGTAGGAGAATAGATTTCAAGACGTTCTTAACTCCAGTGTTGCAGAAGGACTAAGAAAATCCACAGGTCCTGATTTGTAAGTAATTCGTGGATTCCGATAGTGGGAAGATCTCTGTGGTGAGGACAGAAAAAGTTAGAGTCCAGGCAGACAATGACTTTGGACAGACAGGAAGGAGCCAGGGACTTGCTGGTGTCATGAGCTGCTAAGGATTAAGGGCATTGATGATAAGGAAAGGAATGTGCAGTGTTTTTAGAAAAGGATTTCTAAACTCTTTGGAATGATCAAAAGTGGCTGCAGTCAAACTAGCTATTAGGACAATGATTATCCTGTGGATCAGGGGTAGAATATGAAGGTTGTCCTAAATATTAGGGACTCAAGGGTTGTAAGCTAGGATAGCAGTAGTACATCATAAAATGCATATTTCAAGCAGGTCACTCTTGCTACTCTATGACGGAAAGTAAAAGGACACAAACCATTTAAGGAGATCTTGCAGTGTTTCAGGAGGAAGACAGTGAATAGTAGCTTGCACTAATATACAGGCAATTGAGAGAAGTGAACAGCACCTGTTTCACTGGTCTTCTGCATTGATTGTTCAATGATTCATTCATTAAAACAAATTTCCTAAGTCCCTTCTGCATACAAAAAAAGTCTAAAAATTTCTCCCTCAAGATGCTCACTGTATATTTGAAAGATTGCATTAATGTCTTTTCATATGATTATTAAATGCCTCTTTAATATTACAGACTAATTATTGTGAGCATACTCAGTTGTAGCTTCTGCCACAGAACATTTTCCTGGGATAATTGTGATAGTAAAAATACAGAAATAATTTATTTATGTGTGTGTGCAAAACAAATCTGGGTAGATATAGAACTTCATTACATCTTTTATCCTTAAGTATTTAAGAAAAAGTTACAAGTTCTGTCTATGCAGTGGCATCATTGTGTCTGAATTCTGAGGTCTGTGTTCAGTATGAATTGTTTTGTTTGTGAGGCACAGGCAAATAAAGAAAACTAAACTAACTTATTTAACCTTAATGGTAATTAAGTCCTGAGGTATTTTCCAGCATTAAATTCTATTCTGTATATAAGTGTATATTAATTTAAAAATAATCTATTTAGTTCCACAATATGAGGCATTTTGCTCCGGGCTCAGTCATCCCCTCTGTTTAATCTTTCATTAAACAGAATCACAAGGAAACATCCTGGAGCACTAGGAAAAGTCCAAGATAACAGTTTGCTTAGATTCTACCCATTTGAATTTGGGATTGCGTTTCTAGCTGAATGATGTATGAGGGGATTCCACAGTTGATCTCTGAGGTTTGTTCATTGCCAATTAGATGTGCAGAATTGAAGGCCCTTGGTATACCTCTTAATGACTCGCATATCCCTCAGTGATAGCTTTCTGCATCTTTTTTTTCCCCCTCACTTTCCCAGACCATGACACATTATGTTTTTCTCTCCTTAGATTTAACCACTTATCATGTCTGATACCACAGCTTCTCTCTACATTTTCATCTGGACCATGTGCCTTATTCCATTTTCTGTATCCTGCTATGTTTGTTGGGTTCTACCCATGTATTCCAAACATAGATTGCCGTCTGAATCCCTTACTGTTGAATAGGGCTCCTGTGGATATAAAAGGACCTGTAGTTATCACTGACCTACAGAGCTTGTGCAAGCTCTCTGACTTCATTTTCATTAAACCATTATTATCACCAGCTCTGATCCCAGCATCATGTTGGATCTTGTTCCCTTTCTTGGGCCCCATCTTGCTAACCAATATGATTAACATCCTGGTGAGATTCCTTCTAAGCATCCTGTTTTGGGACGATGCCAGCTGTCAAACACAACTTCAGATAATACAATAAGTTTCTATGTTTCAGGTCTGTAGATCAGTGGTTTTAAACTCTAGTTGTGCTCACATATCCCTTTAAGAATCTAATGTGGGGATTCCCTGGCAGTCCAGTGGTTAGGACTAAGCGCTTCCACTGCCCCAGGTCCAGGTTTGATTCCTGGTCATTGCGGAACTAAGATCCCAGAAGCCACAAGGAGTGGCAAAATAAATAAATAAATAAATAAAAATTAACAAAAGGTTTGGATACTCTCTTAAGAAAAAAGTTTCCAGAGAATTTATTTTGCATGTTATTTCCATAGACCCTCTGAAGCCAATCATTGCATCCTTAAGAAATCTTGAATCAGTTTTATATCAAGTATCTAGAGACCACCTTCATTAGAAACACCTGGAATGTGGTTTCAAGCTCTACTTTCTTGAGCTCTAACGGAGACCTACAGCACCAGTATTTCTCAACTGGGGAATCTTAATTTTTTTACATGCGATCCTGAGATTTTTATATTAATTAGGATTTCCAAATTGCTGCTGAAGTTGCTGGTCCTAAAGCCTTAGCCATTTTGGCACTTTGGGAACAGGTGGGTCATAGATGCAAGGTTTGGGAAAGTCTAGAAAATAAACAATCCCAGAAATTGGAAGCGTCTCTGGAACTAACTTTATTTGCAGTGGAAAAATCTAGAGAATAGTGTAAGATCCATTGTATCTATAAGACTCCTGCTGGCCTCAGTAGAACTCCCAGGGAAATCCATTGTTTAAAGAGAATTGAAAGTGGATTCTGAGGTTCCAGGTAGTTGGTTGTAACAAATGCTTAACATTTCCCCTCATGGTTCAGACTCAGTTTTCCATTACTCAACCTGAAAACAAGATAATGAGAGCAATCAAGGACCAGGTAATTGTGGCATGACCATAAAGAGACAAATGGGAAAGGCAGGCCTAGCTGTGGCTAGCCTGTTTCTCATGGAGTACTCAGAATTTGTATACTCTGTAGCAGTCTTTTCCTGTCCCTGGGCCAGGTTCCTTATCTATAAAATGAGAAGCTGTCCAGTCTGCCTTCCAACTTATATTTTATAGCTGTAGAGGACACTTACCTTTAATATTTACATTAACATTAACCTTAAGAAATTCTGGAACTGTCCAAACCAGAGGAAGTGTGATTTTTACTTTATTCCTTTCTTTCAGAGATGTACTCATTAATTTTGAAAGCTGAACTATCTCTTAGCCACACATTCCAATTTTAAATGGCTTTGTCATCTTATTTCTTATAGATAAGAGTGTAACTCTTTAAATTTGGCTTGGCTTACCAAATCCAACATTTAATATTATTTAAATTTAAAGTATATTTTAGTAGTCAGCACTTAGTAATCCATGAGATTCATAATCCTTCTTTGCCTCCTAATATATTTTGTCTGCTGCCTTTCCTTGCAAAAATGAAGGCTCCATGGAAGCAAGAGATTCTGTATTTTGCTCACCATCTTAGTGCTTCGAACAATGCCTGGTACATAGCAGATGTTTAATGAATATTTGGTAAGTGAATGACTCAGTAATAAGCTTGCACCTATTTAAAAAGCTGAATGTATCACATTCTGTCAGGAAATGACTGACTTTACTGTTCAAGTGTCCTTTTAGGTTTCCTTTGGACAAACATCCAAAGTATTATTGAGAGATAACTATGGAGATGTAATGAAAAATATTCATTTAGTCCCTTTGGATCAGAATAGTACTTCCTAATACAAACAAACCTAAAGTCCTCTTACCTTTTTGCTTCACTGAATGCACAGTGGTTGCCATAAGTTTTTCCATCAGAACCACAGACTGGTTCATATTTAGATTGACATTTTGTTTTTCCGGTTGGGTTCTTGTTGCTAGTACGGCCAGTCTTCAGTAATGTGAAACACCATTAGGTAAATATAGAATACTCTAATTATGTTATTGCAATAAAACATGTATTTGTTACTCATTAACTACTGATTAAGCATTGTACTAAATCAATTATTTTGTTGACCCTTTACATTTTAATGTAATCCGTGCAACAGTATGAGAGAAGAGTTCATTTTTTTCCAGGCGGACAGTGCATTTAAGTGACACGCACAAAATCATGTATGGACTAACTACCCAATCTGGGATTGAAACTGAGTCATCTGATTCCAGAACCTCTGCTCTTACTATGTATCTCAGACTGCCTCACTCGAATGCTTTGTACACAAACTGGCAAATACAAAACACACATGGTCATTACTTATTGAACCTTTCTTTTTTCTTGTTTCATAAAAGAAAATGAGTCAGGAGGTGGGATTATGAGGGTTCAGTTAGCTATAATCGTACCTGAAGCATATCTCAGAATCAAGTTATAGGATGGCAGAAGGCTGTGAACATAAAGAAGCTTTGACTAGCAAATGAGAGCAGAGGCACTAAATGGAATGGTGAGTACCTCCAGTAGGGAGCTTAGACTTTCTAGAGCCAAGGAAGTTGACAGATAACTCTAAACCACTGGAAATGACAGAGGTTTGCTCCTCATTTTATATACATCTATTTTCATTCACACCTACTCTGTGAATTGGACAGGGCTATCTCCCCCATTTTAGAAAAGAATAGAAAATTGAGAAAGGTTAAGTGATGATTTAAACATTCAGAAACCTTCAGGTGATGGCGTTAAGGTCTGGACAGCAGGGATGTCCCTGGGAGATTAACTACTACATGCTAGAAGAGGCGTAAGGACAAGGCGCATTAGGCTGCCTCTACTTGAAAGGATATTGGTGAATGACACGTTATGAGGTAAAAAATGAAGTCTCCATTAAGATAATAAGGTGGAGGAAGTGTTCTAGAAAACTGTTTTGAATCTACTAAGTGGAGTGTCCAAAGCCATTGCTGAATGCAATTAGGAAGCTGGCTGTTGGGAAAGAGACTGGCGAGGAAAGGCAAAGCATAGCAGGACTTAGAAGGGAATACGGGAGTCATGGATATGTACCTGTTTGCAATGATGCCTCTCAAATACAAGCCACTTCCTCATCTGACAAATAGTTCAAGAGAAATTATTATATGCCTATCTTGTTTTAGGGTCTGGGAATACAAGTTTGAAAAGAAATGGCACTTTGTCTGGAAATTCTCTGGCAGTCTAATGGTTAGGACTCCGGGCTTCCACTGAAAGGGGCATGGGTTTGATCCCTGGTTGGGTAACTAAAATCCTGCAAGCCACATGACCAAATAAATAAATAAATGAAATTAAAATGGCACTTTCTTTAAGAAGTTAATGCTCTAATTGAATAACAGTCAACTGTAAACAACAATGTCCATTCTATGATAGAAGATACCATTAGTATCAAGAATACATTCTTGGAAAACTACAGGATTTGGTACAGTGTGGCTGGTGTGTGAGCAAGAGTGACGTGAAGTATCCAATCATGTTTAATCTTGGGCTTGAGGTCGGTCTATTCATGACAAAATCTTATGTGCCATGCTCAGGCGTTTGGGTTTTATTGTCTAGGTAGTGTGGTTTCACTGAAGAAGTTTTAGTAGGGAAGTGATAGACTTGTGACTCAGAAATATCGTTTAAGTGGTTTGTATATTATGGGTGGGATGAAAATAGACATGAAAGTTAATTCTGGTGGGGACGGGGACTCAGTTATTGAGTGTCTGCGTTAGTCCAATTATAGGTGGAAAGGCTTGAGTGGAAAACAGTAGAAGACAATGAGACAGAATGGAAGAGCATGACACTCCTAATGATTATAGGTATATAGGAAAGTAACCACCTCCAGTTCCCTCTCATTTTGTTAAAGCAATGTTGTCACCAACTGTTTGTCATTAGTACAGTGTATTCTTTTAACTAGAAAATAGAATGACTGAAGTAAGTTGACTGAGGGAAAAAAAGAGAAATTAACACTAACCTGAATCTCCATTGTATTGTCATTCAAAGGGTTGACTCCAGTTTTTCTTTCTTCTTGATTATAAAAAGACTTTGATTTTCTCTGTTGCCTAGACAATCCTGTCTTTCCTTTTTGGCTAGACGACCCTGGCTCCCCTGGCTGGCTAGATGACCCTGGCTTCCCTGGCTGGCTAGATGACCCTGGCTTCCCTGGCTGGCTAGACAACCCTGGCTCCCCTTGCTGGCTAGACGACCCTGGCTCCCCTGGCTGGCTAGACGACCCTGGCTTCCCTGGCTGGCTAGACGACCCTGGCTTCCCTGGCTGGCTAGATGACCCTGGCTTCCCTGGCTGGCTAGATGACCCTGGCTTCCCTTGCTGGCTACAAGATCCTGGTTTTCCTTGCTCATTAGAAGCTTCTGGATTCCCTTTTTGGTTCGATAGTCCTGAATTCCCTTGCAGACTCCCAGGCTGATTGAAAACTCCTGGCCTCCCTTTCTGTTTAAAATTTTCTGGTTTTCCTGGCTGATTAGAATACCCTGGTTGTCCTTGCAGAATGAGTGGCCCTGGTTTTCCTTGGGTGTTGCTTCTTGTTTCCCTTTTAGGTTCTTTTTGTCCTCCTTGCTGATTAGCTTCATTTTCTCTCTCTAGAATAAGTGCAGGTTCTGCACTGTCTCCTACTTTAAAAACACTTGTCTTCAAAGGCTGGGTTGAAGATACTGGAATGATAACCATAAGCACAAAAACAAAATTATTTATCTTTAAGAATATAAAATCAACAGTATTCATCCCAAGATATAGCATGTATTTAATGCCTCTTTGGTCTTTTAAAACCAAACCCCAAGCTGGAGTCTTCCCACTATGTCTCATAACTTGATTTTTTGAGTCCTCCTTTTTTTTCTTGACTGTATTACATGGTTTCCAAAAATAATGGTGTCAAGTCATCTTTCCCCTTTTCGAAATCAGAATCTGAATTATTTGAACTGGGCCTTCACATTATCCCTAGCTTCCCTGGTGGCTCAGATGGTTAACCTGCCTGTAATGCGGGAGACCCAGGTTCAATCCCTGGGTTGAGAAAATCCCTGGAAAATGGAATGGCAGTCCACTCCAGTATTCTCACCGTGAGAATCCCATGGACAGAGGAGCCTGGTGGGCCACAGTCCATGGGATCACAAAGAGTTGGACACGACTGAGCGACTAACACTTTTCAGATTACCCTAAAGTCCTGATTTAATGGATTACTAATTAATCAAATGCTTCCCTGGCGGCTAGGCTGGTAAAGAATCCACCTGCAATGTGGGAGACCTGGGTTCTATCCCTGGGTTGGGAGGATCCCCTGGAGAATGGAAAGGCTACCCACTACAGTATTCTGGCCTGGAAAATTCCAAGAGGGGTCACAAAGAGACGGACACAACTGAGCGACTTTCACTTTCAATTAATCAGACAGCCTCTACTTAATGCCTGTTGTAAGGATGTGAGAGCTGGACTATAAAGAAAACTGAGCGCCGAAGAATTGATGCTTTTGAACTGTGGTGTTGGAGAAGACTCTTGAGAGTCCCTTGGACTACAAGGAGATCCAATCAGTCCATCCTGTTCATTGGAAGGACTGATGTTGAAGCTGAAACTCCAATACTTTGGCCACCTGATGCAAAGAACTGACTCATTGGAAAAGACCCTGATGCTGGGAAAGATTGAGGGCGGGAGGAGAAGGGGACGGCAGAGGATAAGATGGTTGGATGGCATCACCGATTCAATGGACATGGGTTTGGGTGGACTCCAAGAGTTGGTGATGGACAGGGAGACCTGGCATGCTGTGGTTCATGGGGTCACAAAGAGTCAGACATGACTGAGCAACTGAACTGAAAGCTTTCAGCACATCACGGAATACACATACTCAACCTCACTGTACAGAAGATGCCATCATTAACTTTACAGACAAAAGCTATCAGGCATGAGCCCTCTTTCCACATCCTTTCTCCCATCTCCATACTTGTTTTCTGTAGTCATCTTCTTTCCCCCTTGTCACTGTCTCAAAGGCAGTCATTTCCCTTCTTAAGAGAACTTCCAAACCTTTGGAAAGTATACCAGGATTTCACTTGCATTTGCAATTGGTCCTGCTTTATATTTCCATGAATATACACACTTCCATAAGTGTGTCTTTAGATTTAGCTACAAGTCAAATGCCTCATAAATTGTTTTTTATTGAGTATGCTGTGGTATTCTACATTGATGGTGGTTAAGGTCCTAACCTGGGCATAGGAGTTTAGCAGTTAGTAACATGGTTTATTCAACTGTGGTATAGCCTGAGGTGAGGTCTGTGGGTATAATCTAGCTGTTCACTCAATGTACCAAAAAATATATTGAGAGTCCATTACTATGCCAAAACTATAGTAAAATCTAGAGATAACAACTCTGAACAATGCATGTATGATTCTGCCCTCAAGAGGCTGACAGGGGTCTGTGTAATAGTGGGTACAACTAAGCAAATAGGAATTTATAGTAGAATGATCAGTGGTATTATGTAAGAAGTAAATTAGACAATAGACCGAGAGGAAGATAGCAAGGAGTAGAGCATCATCTCTCTTTCCTGGAGGAGGTGACATATAAGAAATATAGGCCATAGCCTGAAAAATGGATAAGAAGAGAAATATTTTTGACAGAGACATGAGTTTATGCATGAATTCTAAGAAATGTTCATTAACAGCACTAACTTCAAGTAAAAATAAATGAGAATAGAGATGTGGATGAAATGGAAAAAATTAATTGGTCAATCTGGTGTTTTTTTGTTAATTATGTTTAGTTTTTTAAATAGGTCATACAAGTAAATTGCATCAAATTCTAAAAATACAAAAGTGTAAACAGTTTAGAGTAACTTTTCCTTCCTTTCTTGTTCCAGTCCCCTCATATCCTTACCTAGGACACAATTACATTTCCCAGGGTTTTCTGTATCATTCCAGAGGTACCTTGTGTGTTTACAATCATATTTGAATATATTTACCCACAAAATTGGTAGCATACCATATATGCTGTTCTACTCATTTTCTCCCTGACACTACAGTGAGGCAATCTCTAGATCAGTGCTTGCAGAGCAACTTCTTTATTTTCCTTAGTGGCTGCATACCATCTCATTGGTCACATTTACCATAATTTATTTAACCAGTCTTTTAGCAATGAATAGTTGGTTTATTTTCCTCTCTTAATATTACAAACAATGATTTTATGAAAACCCTCATATATCATTTATTTATCCTATATCATTTCTCACATGGATAATATAAATTTGTAGAATAGAAACTAGGAGTGGGATTTTTAGTTAAAAAGATAACTAAGATATAAGAATGTGTTTTATCCATCTATTTTTTCAAGCTAAAATTTGTGTAAAATAAGTATTTTTAGTTTTGGCTTTGTAGTTTTCTCTTCTGGTTTACCCAAATTCTAAATATGTGATTGGCACAGCTTTATATTTGTACTAGGCATTCCTGAGTCCTCGCTCTCCTTCACCTTCCAAATCCATGTAGTCACCATGTTTGATACTAATATATGTTCTTTCACTAACAAATGACTATTGAATACACACTAAATGTCATTCAGCGAGACGCTGAATTACACAGGAGATACGGTACCTGTCATTGTGAAACACACCTGTTCTAGTGACCAGTGGCAGCTGTATGCTTTTTTCTTCTGAAATGTATACTCTTTTCTCCTCCCTTCTCCCATTCCGTCACTTCACTCTTTATTCTTATTTCTTGACTCTACTACTTCAGCAGATCCCTAAATGTCACTTCTGTACAACTTTTCTCACATGTAATTCATTTTCAGTATCACTGTAGACTGATATTCCAGAACAGAATGGGTCTGATTACCACTGTACTCAACAGTCTGAAATAAGTGCAGTGTTTTCAATGAGAAGAGAATCATTATTTCTGTGTTCCCATTCTAAGCAGCTGAAGGTCATAGACACTTTACTTCCATTATTTCATTTTACTAGATGTAGGGGGAAAATGGTCAAGTAGGAGGTCATAATTTAGAGATATTAGTACAGTGGAATTGGTTTCATTTATCATACTTTTATTATCTCAAGAAATGTATTATCTGTATCATTTATTATCTTGACAAATGTATTGCTAGCTAGGAATTTACATCTCTGAAAACAGACAACCTCAACACATTGAGGTAAGGAATAGAGAGAAGCATGTTGAAGGAGAGTTGCTTGTGAAGATCTCAAGTAATGATAGCTAATGTTATCATGATTCCTGTGATAACCTGTATAAATGTATAATTATTTCCATTTTTGCAAATGAGAAAGCTGAGGCTTGAAAAAGTTAAATTGCCTTTAAAGTTAAAAGTTAAAGTGCATAAATAGAAAATTGAACTGCCAAGGATTTGAACCCATTTCTATTTGACCACACTGCCCTGGATCATCACACAAAGCTGTATCCTTTGTGGAATGTGAACTTGAATATACACAAATTCTCATGATCCTGTCACACTGAGTTTTCTTTCCAGCCTAATGTCTTGCTTTTCTCTCTCTTTTTTTTTTTGTTGTTGGTCTCTGCTGCTCTTAAGCCACACCAACCTACTCACTGTTGTCTTACCTGGTCACTATCTTTGTGCCTTTGGTCTATATTTAAGTTGCTTGCTTATAATTACCTTCTTTCATTCCTCTGACAAAGATTTCCTGTTTTAAGGTTTCTGACAAAACATTACTAAATCACTCAACATTTCTAATTCTTTACATTTAGAGTTGGAAAGAAAGCCATTGAATGTGACTTTTCTTACCTGAGAACATGGCCAAGAACATGAAGGGGAGGAAAATGAAAGCCTCCATGTTAGAACCAGTTGGTTGGTGGATGTTCAGTAGATACTTTCTGAATAAACCATGCTGATTGCCACCATGTTATATATTTGGAAAATTCTCCACCCTTGTTGCTAAACACAGTCACTGTGTTTAAAAAAAAATTACAGTAATTTTTGAAACCTGAAAGGTGTTCCTTCTTAAGTAGATTATCATGTTTAAATTAGCTTCACACCCTAACTCTCATAAATATTCAAACTTTAATATGCTCCTATCAGATATCTTCCTCACAGAAAAAATTTCAAAGGCTTTCATGCACTGGAGAAGGAAATGGCAACCCACTCCAGTATTCTTGCCTGGAGTATCCCAGGGACAGAGGAGCCTGGTGGGCTGCCATCTATGGGGGTCGCACAGAGTTGGACACGACTGACGCAACTGAGCAGCAGCAGCCCATCTGAGAAAGTGATGAATTCACTGTTCATTTTTTGTTAAGAGATGACTGATCTTCAGTCAGTACTATTATTGATACTCCAAGTTTAGAGTGTCACAGGAGAGACACTGTAGAGATTCCCATGAAATTTTCCTACAAATGAGTTATGTGCAAAATATTTACTTCAAATTATATTTTATAAACAAGTGACAATGCATTGATATTTGTCACTAGCAAGTGATGAGTACACCCAGTGGGGAATGCCAATGGGTAATGTATTTTTATGAGGTAGCAAGAGACAAAGGATCTCATGTTTGAGAATAACATTATACTATCGGCCCTTTTGCCTTAAGCTATTACACCAAACAAGCTCATGTGAGTATCACCTTGGGACTTTTAGTCAGTAATTAACTCAGTATTATGAAACACTAAAGTATTGTGTTCAAGATTGGCTGCTCTATACAAGAGAAAATTAAGCATGGCCAAAAGAAGGTGACTTTTATAATGTGAGGCTTAAGAGACCATATAGCATAGTAAGGTTGGTTGATGGTGCTAGGAAACATAGCTTGAGTAAAAGCAGACTTAGGAATAATATTGCCATTGGAGTCATCATTTGAAGAGTGTTAGTATGGAGATACAAGATATTATTTGATCTGCATAGTTCAGATGGCAGAACTAGTTCCAATGTAAGAAAGTGCAAGACAAACTGTTTTAAATTTAGGATTTCTGCTTTGGAAAGGGTGGTGAACTATGTGATTCTTATAATCCCTTCCAATTCTAAGATACTCAGATTTAGTGGTTCTGAATTGTGTTTGATTTTCACTTTAGCTTATTTAGAAAGGAAATTTTGAAAATGATAAATGATTTATTTTAACCAAGCTAACAATTTTAAGGCATCAAAAAGGAAAATTTTGAATTTTCAGTAATAAGGTAACTTCCCCCCTACCTAATTTTTCTTTGTTCTGACTGGGCTTCATATGAATGTCAGAAGAGGTTGTATTGAACCAGAAGGCCTTGAATTGTATGTGTGTGTGTGTCTATAGACACACACACACATACATAAATGTTTATGTGGCAGTGGTTTAGTCACTAAGTTGTGTCTGAGTCTTGGGACCCCAAGGACTGTATAGTCCACTAGACTCTTCTTTCCATGGGATTTCCCAGGCAAGAATACTGGAGTAGGTTGCCATTTCCTTCTCTAAGGGATCTTCCCAATCCAGGGATTGAACTTGAGTCTCCTGTATTGGCAGATGGATTCTTTACTGCTGAGCCACCAGGGAAGCCCCCGTATGTTTATATAGGCATATATTTTATTTATAAATAAATATATATAATAAATGTATATATAATACCCCATATGTGTATATTGTTTTTAAACATCCTATAATTTTTACTAAAATTTTATTACAAAAAGTTTCAAAATACCAAGTTAAAAAAATTTGCAATGAAAGCCCACATACATGCCACCAAGATTCTTTAGTTCATCATTTGCTCTACCATGTGTATTGATAAAAATGGGTAAACTTTATGCAAATTATTTTTACTCCAGATACTCAGGTGTAGATTCCAATGCAGTTAATTCTCAAATAACAGCAAATGGACCACAAGAGCTGCATCTGCATTTTACTTTAAACAAATGCTTCTTACATAATGCCATCATGTCTATCTTACCCATTTTTTTTTCTAACTTCAGCTTTGTCATACTTGAAAACAGCCTATGTAAAAACTAACAAATATGATGAGTGCCTTGTATGTGAGGATACTGCAGTTAGAAGGTAAAGTCTCATGGAAGCCTATGCTCTGAGGTCTCAGCGACTGCCTCTGTGGATTAACTGAAGGTATCATTGATTGTGCTGAGTAAGGTAGCCCTTTATCTCTCTTTAACATATCTCTTCTCCAAACCATTCCAAAGAGCTTTTTGAATAATTGCTTTTAATCCTCCAATTTTCCTAAATGGGAAATCTAATTTCTCCTTTAATTGTGGGAACTTTCCAACCTTTAAAATTATCTTCCATTAGTATCTTCCTTTACACTTTGGAATAAGGTCGAAATTCTATTGTGGAGTAGGCTCAGAAAATGCTTCCCACAGTCACTTGTTAGAGAAGGGAAGAAGGTGTTTCATATGTTTTGGAGTGAGATTCTAAATAGAAGATATCCTTTCAGTAGTCATTGTATCTGGCTGGAAATAATAATAATAGCAGTGAAGTCAGATGACCTGAGGTTGTGTGTCTCCTCTCATTTAGCTATGTGATCTTAACACAAGTTTATCTTTCTCTTTCCATCTGCCTTTTTCCATCTTCCTTACTGTTTCTAAAATCATGATAATAATACTCCACTGAAAGAGTCAAATTTTGCTAAGTGTTTTTATGGTTTAGAAAGTTCATACGTGCAGTTTAGTAATTTTGGTTTCTGACTGTGGGCTGTTGCAGCACTCTCTGTCTGGTTACCTGATTTAATCTCAACTAACCATTTGTCATGCAGCTAAAGGGAAGAGACTTTGAACTCTCTATTAGTTTCTCCTGGTGAATAGCCAATATGTTTCCTTTTAATCCTTTCTGGGAGGATGGGGACTAACATGTGTCAAGTATTGTTCTTTGACTCCAAGGAGATATGTAAAGATTGAGCACAATAAAGGACCGAAGACATCAGTTACGTGGCATTCATTAGGTTATACATGTTGTTGTTGTGTTAGTCACTCAGTCGTGTCTGACTCTTTGTGATCCCATGGATTGTAGCCCACCAGGCTCCTCTGTTCATGGGATTGTCCAGGCAAGAATACTGGAGTGGGTTGCCATCCCTTCTCCATAGGTTATTCATACATAGATGCAAATAGGTTAAACTGAATTCAGCAGGCAAACTGATTTTTTGCTTTGGTTTTTGGAGTAGAAGACATAGTACATCTTAAACTCCATGTCACATTGCCAAAATTGTCAGGGGGAGACTTGCCAGTTGGTTACCAAGTTTCATTAAGTACTTCACAATATTAAGAAAGAAGCCAAAGATCAAGCACTTAGGTAATCTCTACCTATGGTTCTTCACCATTTCTCAGTTTATTTGCTCATTTCACCCAGTCTTGACCCCATTGGAGGCATTAGTTTCAGAACACTAAAGTCCTGGAGAGTGGCTGATGCTTAAGATAGAATCTCGGGCATCTTCTCTGCTTTGGTTGTCAGTTTCTTTATTTAACACATAATGTCTTCATGTAAACTGAAATTCAAATATATTCAATTTCATCATTATTTGAGATGATGCAGATATCTGATACACATTAATGTTAGCTATTGTTAGTATACTTAGGTGAACATTTGAGTTTAGAAACATGACTACTCCCATCTTTACTTTAGTTGAATACACATGATGTGACTGGAGAACAATAAAATATAAGGTAGAACATAATTATGATAATCATGAACTAAATTTGTTATAATTAAGGTGTTTACTGACTTATTGCCTAGACTCTCATTGATGTGAAAGGGTGCACATTCTAGGGATAAAATCTGAAGCATAATCTGCTTCTCACACCTAAATTAACTTCCTCTTCACTACCATAAATACAATGACTTCTTTTTTAAACCTTATCTTCATACTTAAGAGTAAATAAATTACATAGTTTGGTCCTCTGTTGATCATCAGATTTATTTAACCATTTGAGTCCAAGTTTTCTGTTACTTGTTTCTTAAACCATATTTCTAGTCATCCTCTGTATGATGTCCACTGATAATTAGTCTTAGAAATATATTTTAAAGGAAAGTGTATATTTTCAGAATGTTATTTATAAAGATTAGCATTAACAAATCCTCTTCATGCAACTTACTCCTCTCCTACAGGAGAATCCATCCCACTCCCTTGAATCCAAGCTGGGCCAGTGACTTCCTTTGACCAATAGAATGTAGTGAACATGACAACATGCCATTTTTAGGTCTAAGTCTTAAGAGCCTGGCAGGGTTGAGTGAGAAACTACAGAGAGACAGAGACGGGGAGACAAAGAGAAACCTCTAGCACCGCCACTGAAACATCAGAAATGTGGCTGAATTCTTCGTGGATCCCAGGGGAGCCACACAGCCAGCAGCATCTGAAGCAGAGGCAGGCCGTTTCTGCTGAGCCTGCACAGGTTGCAGAATTGTGGGCAAATACTGTAACTTACTATTTTTGTTTTAAGCCAGTAAGTGGGAGATGATCTGTTATGCAGAGAGAGATAATTGTTATAATACTGTTGACAAGATAGTGATTACTTTTTCACATTGAATCAAGACCCCATGATAACCAAAATAGGTACCATGTATGAGAAGCTCTGTGTACATTATCTCATTAACTTCTTCAAACAGTATTTGGTCACACCCTTAAATATATGTTGCGGAAACTCAAGCACAGTGTCATTAAATAGCTGTTTTCACATAGTTAACCCTAGTAAAGGTATTTTAGCATATCTGTTGAAGTAACCCCAATGCTGTGCCTTGGCTCCCAAGGCTCTCTATAAACTGACTACTCTCACCCTTGATCATGGCAACCTTATTTACATTTCAGGGTTTTGTTTTTGGTGGTTTGTTGTTTTTATATTTGTTGTTCTCTTTACTCAGAGCACCCTTCCTCTAAATTTGCTTGTGCCCAAATGCTTTTCAGCTTTCAGGGTTCAATTCAAAGTAACTGATTTCAAATAATTACTCTCTCCAAAATGTACGCAGTTTTCTCTGTCATATGTCTCAACTTTGCTTCCTTTATAAATTGATTAATAACTATATTTTTAAAATATTTATTCTTATGCCCCCAAGGATCTTGTCTTGTTTGCCCTATCCTGGGAATGGTATCTAGCATAAAGTGAAGTCGGTCAGTCGTTTTTGACTCTTTGTGACCCCATGGACTGTAGCCTGCCAGGTTCCTCCGTCCATGGGATTATCCAGACAAGAATACTAGAGTGTGTTGCCATTTCCTTCTCCAGGGAGGAATCTTGCCAACCCAGGGATCGAACCTGGGTCTCCCGCATTGCAGGCTGACTCTTTACCGTCTGAGCTACCAGGAACTCCTGGAATCTATCATAAGCATTGAATAATTATTTGTAATTAATGAAATAATTCATGCATGGGGTTTTATAAAATAAGAGTGTAACAAACTATACTTTGCAGTGAAAATATTAATTGCTCAGTCATGTCCAACTCTGCAACTCCCTGGACTAGAGCCCGCCAGACTCCTCTGTCTGTGGATTTCTCCAGGCAAGATTACTGGAGTAGGTAGCCATTCCCTTCTCCAAGGGAACTTCCCAACCCAGGGATCAAACCCGGGTTTGCTGCACTGCATGCAAATTTTTTATGGCTTGAGCCATACATTTGTTGGTTGCTGTAAATTTTTCCCCCCAAACAGTTTGAAGATACAATCTTGTCTACCCATCTTTAGATTTCTGAGGGCATACTACATGCCAGTAAACCTATACTTTCAAGGTTTTTCACAATTTATCATGTATAGAAAATTATTTTATGTAGTAAACTGATAAAGCCAGAGACAACTAACCTAAAGGCTTCAGCTGTTGCATAACCTGTTCAGCTGCCCCAAATGACTGAGGTGACCAACATTTTGTCTCACTTGTTACTTATTTCTTGTCTCAGGGTACAAGTTGAGAAGCTCTAAAACTAACTCAATATGTCCCTAAGGAAAAATACTTCACAAATATATACTAAAGAATGCTAGTCAAGGTTATGGTTTTTCCAGTGGTCATGTATGGATGTGAGAGTTGGACTGTGAAGAAAGCTGAGTGCCAAAAAATTGATGCTTTTGAACTGTGGTGTTGGAGAAGACTCTTGAGAGTCCCTTAGACTGCAAGGAGATCCAACCAGTCCATCCTAAAGGAAATCAGTCCTGGGTGTTCATTGGAAGGACTGATGCTGAAGCTGAAACTCCAATACTTTGGCCATCTTATGCGAAGAGTTGACTCATTGGAAAAGACCCTGATGCTGGGAGGGATTGGGGGCAGGAGGAGAAGGGGACGACAGAGGATGGGATGGCTGGATGGCATCACCGACTCAATGGACATGGGTTTGAGTAAGCTCTGGGAGTTGATGATGGACAAGGAGGCCTGGCGTGCTGTGACTCATGGGGTCACAAAGAGTGGGACATGACTGAGCAACTGAACTGAAAGGATGCTAATTTGTATCAGATGATGTATATTTTCTTGGATTGAGCTTTCTTGTCCTTGACTTCATCTGCATAAAGTTTGAAGAATTGAGACTCAGAGTACTGGTTGGAGAATTCTGGATTTGAAAAGTGTGATGATAATTTCTGTCCTGTGGTTTGTTTTCAAATTGTATCATTTTGTACTAAGGCAGTCTAGCAGTTAGTCTAAATCAAATAAAGGTGGCTCCATTGTTAGCTGAAAAGAACATCAATGTAGTCAGTCTGCCGAGGTAACTTTATTGAAAGTGCTTTCTTTATGCAAAATAACTGATGGGAAATACATAGCAGTGGAGACTGGATAAATAGAGACTGAATCTTCTGATGCAAAAGGCATACTGTAGGCACTTCCAGCTTTGCAGCATCAGGCGAATCAACATTTTCCTTCATGTTTGAAATTGAGCTTCCCATTTCTTTCCCTGAAAGAATAGAGATACTGCTCACAGTGAAGTGTGGTAGATGTGGGTTAAGCCCAGTATAAATGAATTGGGAAATGATACTTAAGCTTTCTAGGTGTTAGGCTAATAATATTGCTTTATTTTAAATAAGAACTATCTGTAAAATACTTAGCATGGCAAAAGGCTTAATAAATAACTTCCCTGACTTATACCCCATTGACCTCAACCAAAGATGCTATTCCAAAGACAGCTTTCAGGCGCTTACTTAGCTGCTCTGCAGAATTCACAGAGGTTGTGGTAAGTTTGTCCATCAGTGCCACATACTGGTTTGTTAATCTTGGGACAAGGTTTTCCATTTGTAGCTGTTTTCTCATAATTGCTGCAAAAAGCCTGTGATTAAAAAGTTCTTTTTTAATTTCATGAATAATGGCATTGACATCACTACCTCTCTCAAGTGATAACAAAAATATTCTATTTATGCTTATAAATCCATTTTAAAAGTTCTTATTATTACTAAACTCTTATTATTATTATCATTATCTTATTATTGAATCCTTGTAAAACCAGGATTCAAACAAGGACGTTTAACTCTAGAGCCTATACTCTTAGCCATTATATCATTCTGACCATATGGGAACCCACTAATCTAGCCACATTGGCCATTAATAACCTGTGAAAATATTTTGCTTTTTTTTTCCAGGACTATACTACTCTTTCCCCCTGCAATAAATTTTCTCTTTTATGTCATTCTTTAATGATATGAAATAACACCTCTCAAATACCATCTCATACTCTGAAATTTTCCTGATAATCCTCAGGCAAGAAAAGATTGTTTCTGTTTCCAAATGCCTACAAGTTTATTAGCTGACATCAACCTTTAGTAGTACACAAATGTTATTAATATTTTTATTTATATTTGCTTTTGTTTACTTATTTTTGTTTTACTTTGGACTTTTGTGGTGGCTCAGACAGTAAGAATCTGCCTGCAATGCAGGAGACCCGGGTTTAATGCACACTCTTAGGAGTAAGGCATAATAAAATATATGTGCATTTAATCATAGTTCTATAATTGATTGCTTCATTAGCTATCTCTGTAACTACCTATCATACAATGCATGGTATAATAGAACCGTTAAAAATACAGAGCAGCACAAAAGGGATAGATTTAAATCACGTATAGAACACTATCCAGAAACTTTCACTATTGATAGTACCTTTCCTGACATCTTCTCTGTTTATATATCTTTCCTAAGCCTCATTACCATTGATAGCATTTTATAAAATGGTTTAAACTTGAAATATTATTTCAGTATCTTTCTGCATCAGTATACATTCTATATTACCATTTTGAATAGTTACTATATATTAACTATTATTCAATTCCCTATTTGGAAACATTTGGTTTGTTTCCATGTTTTTTCCTTTTCTTGTTTGTTTGTTTCCATATTGTTTGCTAATGCAATCTATATTGCTAGGAATATCTGTGTAAATGCATTTTCAGTTCTTTCCTTAGGCTCCATTTCTAGAAGTAAAAAAACCCTCTGTTTTTAATTTGCCTTTTTAAAGACTTTTGATGCATTTATCAAGTAAAACTTCAGGGATTTTTTTTTTCATATTTCTATTTCCTTTAGGCCTTGACCATAATAGGAAACTCAAGGAACTTTGTTGAATAGTGTGAAAGTGTTTTTATATAATTACACAACTTCATAGGTAGAATGAAAGAAAATCTGCTCACAGATTTTCCTCATGGGAATAAAGGACAGACTTTAGTAGCCATCTTTTTTATTCTGCTTTCATTACCCTTACTTCAAGCAAAGAAAGTCTGTGTTTATCTGGTGTTACTTTTACCTGTTGAGATTTTGTTTTCGGTTTAGCTGAAGGGCATTTCTTTGAAAAGCAATATTTCCTATGCTGTAATTTTACAGATGGGGACACTAAGGCTCAATTCCTTTTGGAGGACATTCTTCCAACATTTCACATGACATGAGGACAGAATTAAAACCTAGATATACCATTACATTTGTGGCTCAGCTGGTAAAGAATCCACCTGCAAAACAGGAACCCTGGGTTCGATCCCTGGGTTGGGAAGATCTCTTGGAGAAGCGAAAGGCTACCCACTCCAGTATTCTGGGCTGGAAAATTCCATGGACTGTATAGTCCATGGGGTCGCAGAGAGCGGACATGACTGAGCAACTTTCACTTTCACATCGCTTTCATACCATTACATTGTGATTTTCCAGTTTGCTTCTTTATCTATCATGAACCCATTTTTCCATACTAAGTCCCTCCTCTCAAGAAGTTCCTGACAGTAATGCAGTTTATAAAGTTATTATTTAATCTCAGTAATATTTCAAATATATTTCTAGACTTAAAAGTTCAACATGAAAATATGTAACTCCACCTGCCTCCCAGAATATAATTTTCCTCATATGGTAAAGAGAACAAAATGTAACTGTTAGTTTTCTCGCCCTAAACATCAGAAGAATCAAAGTTAAGGAGAGTCTCATCAACTCTAATAGCATGACTTTCTAAATTGTCATGGATTAAGGAACTGACTTGTTACTTTTATGCTTTCTGCTGTCACCACGTGGAATAGAAGGCATTAAGAATCAACTTCTAAGTTGTATCAAAGCACAGTAGATTAAAGATTTAAGTGAAATTGAATTGTCTGTGAATTGGTAAGACATTTTTTAAAAAACTGTATATTTCATGTAGTACAGTTTAAGCAAGACCAAATTTGTCTTTTTTAAACATTTTCTTTCACAAAAACAATTTCTGATTTGTAAAGTTTACATGTGTGTGTGCTCAGTCGCTCGCTCATGTCCAACTCTGTGACCCCATGGACTGTAGCCCTCTAGGCTCCTCATTCCATGGGATTTTCTAGGCAAGAATACTGGAATGTGTTGTCATTTCCTCTTCCAGGGGATCTTCCTGACCTGGGGAGCAAACTCATGTCTCCTGCATTGGCAGGCAGATTCTTTACCACTGAGTCACCTGGGAAGCCCCAGAAAGTTTATTTTGGTGTGAAAGAGGGGATATGCTTTACCAGAAGTTAATTTCTAAAGATAGTACATTCTCTTCTGTATTATCTTTTATTCAGCATGATTTAATTTTCATACTTTCTTTTTCTCTTTTTTGTTGCTTAGTTTCCTTTATAATTCCCTTTTGTATGGTTCTATGGAGAAATCAATTTTATTTCTTTACTTTTTACTCAACAAATATTGAATGCCTACTTTGTGCCAGTAACTAGAAATTCCAAAATAGTCTTATCAAATTTCTAATTAAAATCTTACAACTGAATTTTGCCTCAAGAAAGTAGCTGTTGCTTAGAGTTGAAGAGAGACTGAGCAGACAAAAAACTATATGTGGTCTCAGATTAGATCCTACAACAAGAGAATCATATAATATTTCTGGGGTAGCTAGTGAAGTTTGAACAGGATTTCAGGTTAACAAGTTAGGTGTACAGTTCTGTATCAGTGTTCATTTCCTGATTTTGATGACTGTACCAAAGTTATGTAATGTGAGCTGCATGAAAGATACATAGTATGTAATATTTCTTTGGGCTACTTTTCAAAATGAAAATATTTTTTAAAAACATAAAAGAGTCCAAAAGTTAATTTAGACCTCCATCTTCAACTAAACTTTTAGGTAAGATGTATAGATTATAAAACCTTATCTCAAAATTCTTGTAGGTGAATTAGTAGTTTTCAGAAGGTAGAAATACTATATATCACATCTGTTATTATCTTGTACATTCTAACATTTGTTGAATCTTTCACTCATTCTTAAATCCATCTCTTTAGCTATCAATCCATTGATTTATCCATTCAACCATCTATCCATTTATTAGGTGAGATTTTTATTGAAGTTGTGCCACGTTTAAAGACCTAGGATCTGAACAAGAGAGAAAACACTTCCTCTGGCCTTAACAAGCTTACTTTCTAAGAGAGAAGTCTATCTGTGATGGATAGCATAATATGATAAATGTTGAATTTAGTATATCAGTAAAATCCAGTAAAAATACAGATGAGATCTTAGTAAATCATTCATAAGGATGATAGAGAAAAATTGATGTTGTTCTCAGGAGATTTCCGCATGAGGGAGGATATGAAGGTCCTTCTAAATGAGAGCATGAGCACACTTTTCACAGTGGTGTGACTGGTAATTGTATTTCAGAATGTAAGAATAGCCTTAACCAAGGCATATAAGAGGTCTTGGTATGCTAGAAACAATAGGCTATTTAATGTGGTCAAAGAATTGGATCACAGGGTGGTAAGAGAATGAATGAGGCTGAACAAGGAGACAGCCAGTAGATTGAAATGGGACATGAAAGCCAGGCTAAAGAATTTGGATATTATCTTCTTGGCATTTGAAAATTATCTATGATTTTGAAGTAAGAGAGTCATGTGAATAAAGTTAAAATGTTAGAATTTTTTGGAATTAGCATGGAGGATGTTTGTTGAATGAATTAATTTTTTTTTAAGTTCTAGAGTTGTTTCTCTTTATATCTCTTTATAAATATTTCATTTAAAATATTTACCCTTTAGTTAGAAAACTAAAATTGGATAAATGTGACTTAGTTATTAGGATTAAATCATTAAAATAAAAATTTAATAATAGTTAATTTTTATTTAGTATTTACACTAAACAGTCTTATGGGCTGTATATAAATTAGCTCATGTAGTATTGAATTGAGTACTTTATTAGCTGAATTTTATAGATAAAGAAACTGAGGCACAGAAAGGTGAAGTAAGTTACCAATGACCAGACATTTATGGAGTAATAGGGCTGGATTATAAACCTGAATATTCTTTCTCAAAACTCATATTTCAAAAATGAAACTCTGACTACATTTTTTAAAAATTTAAGATATACAACTATTTCTTATGATTATAGACCCTATTATTACAAATTATTCTCTCAGTTGTGTAGATTCTGTGTTACTAGTTGCCAACCAAGCCACCTGTCCATATGTACACAAAGAAGAGAAGGAAATGGAGAAAGAAAGGGCAACCCACTCCAGTATTCTTGCCTGGAGAATCCCATGGATGGAGGAACCTGGCAGGCTGCAGTCCATGGGATTGCAAAGAGTCTGACATGACTGAGCGACTAACACACACTCTAAGATACCAAAGCATTTAGTGTCTGTGAATCTGGCAAGTACTCTCTCTCCATATCTAAGTGTGTTTATTAAGATATAGATCTGTGATTCTCCAATTTTAATGTTAGGGGCTTCTTAAAATGTAGATTCCTAGGCCTCAGCATCCCTCCCTAGACATCCTGGTTCAATCAGAAGATCTAATATGTATGTGCAGGAAACAGAAATGCATTTCATGAAGCATTCATAGAGACTTCTGAACAAGGTACTCAGATCTAGAGTAACTGTATGTTCTGAGTTGGCTGAATAGTCTCAGTTTATGTCTTCTCTATAAAACTGTGTAAATACTACTTTCACTCTCAAAATTATCCTTATTTAGAAAATAAATGATATTCATCCTATATTTTTATAAGCAATGTATTACTTTAGAGGCTTTAACTGTGTACATACTATTTCTTTGGAAATGTGACATCTGGCTCATCTAAAGAAAATGGGAAGTAATTTTTAAGTGCTTTTCTACTGTTAAGGAAAAGGCATCTGCACTAATAATGACATTTTTTTCTAAATAAGGATATCATGTGGTCATCCCACCTTCTCACCAGAGCAACCAAATGAACTCAGAAGACCTTAATGAAATAGTCACAGTACTTCCCAACTCAAAATCACCTTTGTTGTAAGACAGCCTCTTGTGATAGAGGGCCCCTAAGAATGAGAAATACATACCTGGTAGCCCCCTTGGCTCACAGCCTCTGCAAGGAGAGAACAAACAATGATAGGTCACAACAGGACAGGCAGATTCCAGAATCAGTGTGTTAGAGTTAAAATGATCCACAAAGACCTTCTAATATTATAACTGCCATATTTAGGATGAAGAACTAAGGCCCAGAGAAGGGCAGAAAGTTTCTTCAGGACACACAGCTTGTTAACTACACAGCTGAACCAGAGGCCAGGTTATAAACAACCGATACAAAGCTCTTTTCACTACATTTGCTATTTATGATCTGTGTGGCTTTTACTTAATTATATTCACTTCTTTAATGTTTACCTTAAAACCAGGCTTTAACTTAAGAAAGGAAGGCAAGAATATATGTCGAAGTGGCATATATTTAACCAGAAAGAAGTTGAAAATTCCAAAATCTAGGAACTGTTAGATTAAAGGATAATCAAGACAATTGGCCAACAAAGAGCTAATATAACAATAAAATACAAAATAATTTGGAGAGCATTGAAAAAAAATCATATAATTGACCCCTATTTCTACTAACAGTATCTACCATGTACTAAGGGATTTCTATATTTCAAGCACTGTATTAAATCTTACATATATTAAGTCATACTAATAGTTCTGTGTTAAATCTAAGGCAATTGTAACCTGGGGCAAATAACTCATCTGAGGGCATGTACCTTGTAAATGATAGAGCCAGAAAGCAAGCCCAGGTCTTAGATTCTAAAGACAATGTACATAACCATAACCTTTTATTGAAACAAGTCTTAGAGCACATAAGGGTCACAACTCTATTTTCATATGGTGAACAGTAGCCAGAGAAAAGTAGGTTGCTCAATATTAAAGAAAAAGATAGTAGCACAATGAAGATTAGAGGCCAAATATTAAAATCCCACTCTTGGGCTCTTCCACTCATTCTCTCTTTTTTCTTTGCATACCTAGAGGCTAGTTAAGAATGCCTCAGTTTTCAGTAAAATGGAAGCATCTCAGGAACATTTCAGTAGCTGAAGCTCCTTAGGTAAGAATTTCTTGAAGGTGACTTTATGTAATAATTTCTGTTATAATTTCAGTATAAGCTGTTTCATTGAAGAATGAAACTTATTTGTAATCTTATGCTCTTAATTATGATTTGCTAGTTTGCAACTGGCCTGGAACTTCTATTTTTTTTTTCCCCCTTGACCTCACTCCTTGGCTTGTGGGATACTAGTTCCCTGACCAGGGGTTGCACCCAGGCCCTTGGCAGTATGAGCACAGAACCCTAACCACTTCCAGAGAATTCCTGGCCTGGAACTTTTAGATTAGGCATTTGAGGTGCATTTGGTCTAGGACAGGCCATCTCATCCTATGGATTATAACATTGTTTTTGCAAGTAGATGACACTATCTCTTACATAGTATTATAGTGATAATTCATAATATTATCATAGTATTCATAATAGTATCATAGTATCATAATTCATAGTATTATAGTGATAAATTGTAAGTTTCCTCTAAATTAAAGCATTATGGGTGGTCACCATCAATAACCATCCTTATCACCATCATCATCATCATAAACAAAGACATCGCATCATGACTGCTAACACTGACCAGAATTCCATTTTGTGTGTGTGTGTGTGCATAGTACTCACCTGCCAAGATGAACAAATAGGCCACACTGATCATAAGCAGAAGGGTGCCTGATAACTTCATGATGAATGAATTTGCCAAGTCTGCAGGGAATGTGTTAAAAAGAGTTTACCACTGTGGATGTTCTACAAGCTGTATTTATAAGTAGATCCATATGCATGCTTCTGAGTACCTATACATTTGACAGCCAGCCAGATTCTCCACCCTGATTATATAATCTATGTCCCCAGTGATTAGAGACATCAGAAACCAAAGAAGCTTACTTCCTGCCTTTTTTAGACAGGAACAATAGCCTGAAATGTTGTTTAGACAGAATAAAATGAATTATATGTATTACACCCGGAATTTGCTCTCATCAGCAACCAGTAATAGTTGTGAGCAAGTCATTTTCTAGCAATTTGCGTATATGAACCTGTTCCCAGCAGAGCCTTGGGACAAGAACGCTTCCATCAGGCAGTAACCTGTGTAATTTGTGCACAATATTAATAACGCTTGGTGTCACAACTACTAGGAAAATAAAAATGCTAATGTGAGGGATTTTTAGGTCGAGGAATTTATTGGACTAAGAGAGCATACTCCTAATGGTCATTGAATTAAAAACCCTTGATATTCCCTATGAATGTGAATTAGGGGCTGTTTTCTTCAACCCCTTGCTGTTAGGCAAAACGTACATGGTGATTCTTACTTAACATTTTTATTTTAACAAGTATTTCACAGATGGATTTCAGTGATTGGGCATAAATACCATTCACACTTCTCTTGCTTCTCTCAAATACATCAAGCACTCTTTACCTTATGGCTCCTGCTCTTATTGTTTCCTCCAAATGGAAGACTCCTGGCCAAGAAACTTAAATAGCTAGTTTCTTTCTTTCTTTTTTTGTTTTTAAGAAATATCAGTTAAAATACTACCTGCTCAGTGAAGATTTCCCTGTCAATTCAAAATACCTCCATCCCAACTCAGATCAGTGTGCTTTATTGCTTTCGTAATGCTTTTCAACATCTAAATTATCTTTCTTACATAATTATTTACTTGTATATTTCCCAACTACCAAATATATACAATCATATAGACAAATACATATACACTAGGATATAAGCTCATGGATCTTTTTTCACTCTAGTATCTCCACACATAGAACAATGGCTTGCACACAGAAGCATATAAACATCTTTCTGATTTTACAAATGCTAATTAGTAAAAGTTGCTTCCTTCACTCTAACATAATAATTGAAGACCAATTATTGCAAGTATTACAAAATACTGAAATGAAGTGACAACAAAGACAGATTCATACAGCTACATTCATCATTCTTTTCTCAAACACTTACTGGGTGAAACCTACTGGTTCCAGGAACTTTGATCCTAGAAATTTAAAGATGAGTAATAGACGTTCACAACTAAAACAAGAAGAAATCAACCTGACTAAAGTTATAGACAAATACAAGGGGAGCTCAGAAAAGAGCACATTCCTCTGAGTAGGGTGAAGAAGGCATGGCAGAGAGGAGGTGGTCATGACCAGGCTTCCTAGAGTTATTAGAAAATCAGAGACACATAAAGTGATAGCCATTATTTCAAGAATAAGAAATCATCTAGAAAAAAGAAAACAAGAGCTAAGGTATATGTTTAGAAATGAGAGCAATGGTTAGACTTAATGCAGGCCTTAAGATAACAGCTTTCACAGTCTTTGCTAAGGATTGTCGTATTTCTTGGAGTCCTTTAACACCTCTGGATCTGTGAGCTTCTTGTGTCATCAAATTTAGAAGTTATGTAACTATTTATTCAAATACATGTTTTATTCCCTCATCACCCTTCTCCCAAGCTTCATGAAGTTGTCCCCCAACTCAATCCTTTCTTCAGTACTTCTTTTTGTTTTCTTTTTTTTTCTCTGTATTTCGTTTTTGTTCAATTCCAAAGCTATATCCATTGTGGAAACAATGGAAGCAGCGAGAGACTTTATTTTTGGGGGCTCCAAAATCATTGCAGATGGTGGCTGCAGCCATGAAATTAAAAGACACTTACTCCTTGGAAGAAAAGCTATGACCAACCTAGACAGCATATTAAAAAGCAGAGACATTACTTTGCCAACAAAGGTCTGTCTAGTCAAGGCTATGGTTTTTCCAGTAGTCATGTGTGGATGTGAGAGTTTGACTATAAAGAAAGCTGAGCACCGAAGAATTGATGCTTTTGAACTGTAGTGTTGGAGAATACTCTTGAGAGTCCCTTGGACTGCAAGATGATCCAATCGGTCCATCCAAAAGGAAATCAGTCCTGAATATTCATTGGAAAGATTGATGCTGAAGCTGAAACTCCAGTACTCTGGCCACCTCATGCGAAGAACTGACTCATTTGGAAAAGACCCTGATGCTGGGAAAGATTGAAGGCAGGAGGAGAAGGGGACGACAGAGGATGAAATGGTTGGATGGCATCATCGACTTGGTAGACAAGAGTTTGAGTAAACTTCAGGAGTTGGTGATGGACAGGGAGGCCTGGCGTGCTGCAGTCCATGGGGTCACAAAGAGTTGGACATGACTGAGTGACTGAACTGAACTGATCAAGTTTACTAATCTCTTCTTCTACAGTAGCTAACCTGCTGTTAATATCACATGGTGTTATTTTTCTTTTCAAACATTTCACTTTCTCAATACACTATTTCTTTATTTCTATATATTTTTATATCCGGATACATCTTCCATCTGTTTACTTCACATGCTCTATTTTTCTCCTACCTTCTTGAACATAAGGGATAACTAATTTAATGATCTCATCTATCAATTATATAATTTGTGTCATTGCTAGATCTCTTTATTATGATTGATACTTTTCCAGAAAATATACTGACAAACCAATGAAAGCACATATGTACCAAAAGCACAGACAGAGTGATTGCTAACACAGATAGGGTTGATGGTGAGGACTATGGTTGTCAAGGCCCCTAGTGAAAAGATAACCTTTGAGCTAGAGGATCAAAGATAGGAATTCATGAGAAAGAATGTTTATTCCCTCTCGCCATCTTTTTGTATTTCATGGTCTACATGGTCAAACAGAGCTTCCCTTGTAGTGTGTCTCTGCAGTATTGTATTTCTCACCTGGGCAGCATAGTTCTACAGTTTCCACCAGGCATATAAAGAGCTTATTAGCAGGTAGACACAATCTCTTCCCAGATTCTAGAATTTAGGGAACAAAAAGCTTGGGTTCCTGAGAGTGGTGGAGATGAAATGGTACATGGGGACATGTTTATGAGATTGTGCAGTTTCAGTTATGTAAAAGAGTATGATGGTTTTCAGGAAGTCCCACAAATTAGGTTATAGTTATAACATCTGTAGGAGGGACTCATTGCCTCTTTAGACTCAGTAAGAAAGTATTTAATGATGTCTGCTTACACTGTCTATAAAGCAGTTTTCAAAGCATTGCACATCTAGCAAGACTATTACCGCAACATGAGTGAGATTTTATTGGATGAGCAAATAGTTTTTTGTGTAATGGGAACTTGAAGATATTTATTAAGTCAAATTATTCTTAGAAAAATTAAAATAATTCAGGCAACTGCCATTGTTGCTTTGACCTGACAATGGTGTGGTTCCCTTCTCCCACTACTGCTTCCCTTTCTCAGGAGATCATCCTACACACTTCTTTCTTACATACTTTTTCAATACTGTATTATTAACTTTAGTCACCATGCTGTACAATAGGGCTCCACCACTGATTCATCTTATAATTGAAAGCTTGTACCGTTTCTCCACCCACCCAACCCTAAGCAACCACCACTCTTCTCTCTGGTTCTGTGAGTTTGACCTTTTAGATTCCTTGAGTTTAAGTGAGATTGTGCAATATTTATCATCCTGTGTCTGGACACTATAGTTAAGCATGTTTATTCATTCTTCTTGTCACAGATGGCAGGATTTTTTTCGTTACTTTTTTTGGATGAATAATACTCAGTTGTATATATTGTTGGAGTAATAAACAAGGAAGCCATTAGACTGAGGTGGCTCTAATTCCTTAGTAGGTACCTAGTAAGCAAACCCAAATGGAGCCAGAATCAATGCACTTGAATCCAAGAAAACAAAACTTAAGAACAGCTAATCTCTGTCAGCTTGGCTTTCTCAAATAAGACAGTCACTTAATCCATGGCTAATCAAATACTTCCTTTGCTTTACTTCCACATCTTCTCTTTACCTTTCCCCTAGCTTGTCAGCAGAGCACTCCTAAACATTTTCAGTTTGGTATCTGCTGAGCTGAATGGATGTTTGCCCAAATAAACTCTTGTAGATTTTAATGTGTCTCAGTTTATTTTTTAACAATATATACCAGAGTGTATCTGTTCCTCTATCTGTGGCCACTTAGATTGCTTCCATATCTTGGCTATTCTGAAAAGCTGCAGTGAACATGGGAATACAGATAGCTCCTGAGATCCGAATTCATTTTCTTATAATATATACACAGAAGTGGGGTGGCTGAACAACATGATAGTTCTATTTTTAATTTTTTGATGAATTTCCTTGCTGTTTTCCATAATGGTTGTACCAATTTATAGTCTCACTGACAATGTACAAGAGTTTCTCTTTTTGCCAGTACTTGTTTCTTTATTAAATGTTTTTATTTTCTACTGGACTATAGTTGATTTACAGTTTGTGTTTCAAGTGTACAACGAAGTTTTTCAGTTATACATATAATCTTTTTCAAATTCTTTTCCCATTTAGGTTTTTACAGAATATTGAGCATAGTTCCTTGTGCTATACAGTAGGTCTTTGTTGATTATCTATTTTAAATATAGATATGTATTTATATGCATATGTGTCAATCCCAAATTCCCAATTTATTCCATATATCTATATGTGTATATATATGTCAATCCTAAATTCCCAATTTAACCCTTACCCCCTACCTTTCCCTTTTGGTAACCATATATTTGTCTAAGGCTGTGAGTCTATTTCTGTCTTGTAAATAAGTTCATTTGTATCTTTTTTTTTTAGATTCCCCATATGAATGATACTACATGATATTTATCTTTCTTTCTCCAATTTACTTCACTTAGTATGATAATCTCCAGGTCCATCCCATGTTG